TACCTATTGTATTCTTCTCTGTGTCCAGATATCTAACGTGTGCAATTATGTGAAGCCAAACAGCTACAAGCATTTTTATTTTATTTTATGTTATTTTATTTTAGCCTTTATCTCTACCTCTCTGGATGTGTGTATGTTATGGCTCTTTTTCATAGCCATCCCTTGAGAATGAAATTAATTACGAGTCAGTCTAAATGAGAACAAGGCTTCAGAGGTCATACTTGTCATACAAGATTCTTTCCTACAATTTTTTCTTTTACTCTTGGCACTAAAATCTTTTTTTCACTGCTTGTAGATCCATTTTTGTTTTTTAGATTATGGATGTGATAACACTGTATTTCAAAATAAAAATAAATCAAACAGAAACATCGAACTAGCCATTATGTCCACAATCAAAAGGTTTAAAACTGAAAATAGATGAAGTGTTAAACTGATTTTATGAAAACTATAGCAGTAAAAAAGAGCTGAGTTGAAGCTGCAATTCCAGTAAGGTGAGAGTTCGCCCTCTGGTGGTCAATAAAAGAGTAGCTAGTAATGAGTGTTCACTGTCTTTCCTCAATTTCCCCCAAATCTTCCTATTGTTTTCTTTTTCCTATCCCCTTTTAAATCTCCCCTCTTTCCTCTTGTCATCATAATTAGTCAGGACGTAGGACGTTCTTTTCCTTCAAGGTTTATTTTTATCTCTCCACAGGTCTTTCCTGACCTCCTCAGACAAGGAGAATATGTTCACATTGGACCATTTCCCAGTGTGGTTCCGCAGAGCATCCGAGAATCCAGCTGGGCAGTTTCTATACTACATGCCCAGACAGGAGACTAAAGGTAGAGGAGATACCCTTACTGAGCAAACACATACACACACACACACACACACACACGGGCACACACAGCACTTCCTGTGCTTTTTTTATTTCCAATTTTCTCAGCCATGTTCAGCAAGTTGAGCCAAAAATCTCTCAGTGACAGGCTCATTTCTCTACAGCCAGCAGCCTACAACTGCTCCTGTCTGTTTACTTTGTTGTAAATGTATGTCGTTTGTATCCAATACACTTGGAAAAATGTGTCAGTTCGGATTTGATGGATTTTCTGTTTCGGTTTATTCTTCACCACAGTTCATATTCTGGGAATATTGCTGTTGTGAAGAATAATCCATGGCTCCAGAGTAACAACACTAACAGCTACTGTCATCACTTTTATCATCACATCACACTAACACTTAACTCCATCTGTATATGCAGTTGAGACATGAAAGTCAGTAACACGATGGGATTTTGAGCCTGACCCTTCTCTACCTCTGGATTTCATTTTCTTATTTAGCTCTGCTGGAATGAAATGTATTTTTTAAAGTGCTTTAAAAAAACATGTTTGCTGCAAAGTGCTTCAGGCAGCAACAAAAGACAGGGCTTTGAATTTAATCTTCACTTAATAGTGCAGACTTAAATGTAATTTTGTCGTATTTTGATTATGAGGCTGATTACAGAGTGCAGAGTGTGTGCATATATATCATATACCTCACTTAATTACACATCCAGATTAAATGCAGTTGTGTTTTTTAGGCTGTTTATTACTTCCAACAGCTACTAAACTGTATGTACTAAATCTATGCATGACATTACGTTTAAAGGGACAGTTCACCCCAAAATAAAAAGTACATATTTTCCCGTTACTTGTCTTTCTTAGAGATGTCTGCACTCTCTAGAATATAATGGAAGTAGATAGGATAGGATAGGACTTATGGTGCTCAAAGTGCCAAAAAATGCATTTGACTTTTGTTACTTAAGATAATCCACAGACCTTGTTGTGAGCAGTTTAATGTAGTGATGGACTAGGGGCTCATCCTACTCTCTAATGTGCTATGTGTGAGCTCAGTCCTGTGTGTTCTTTAATGAAGCAATAGGAGAAGATATTCGGTCTCAGTTAATGTAGTTTATTAAGCAGTAAAGGAATAAAATTACAGAGCTCTGGGTCTCAACTTCACGTCCCTGACGAACAACAAAGGTGTGTCAGTTCACGAAGTCTGACCTCCTGTCCTTCCCCTGACCCAGTATATTTGAGCGTAACAGAGTGTCATTGTGCACGCAAGGCGTTGTCCTCTTCTCATTGGCAGTTCCACTTCCTCCTTCACCACACCACGCCCCTGCCTCGTGTTAATCTGACTCCTTCCCGCTGGCGGTGGGGGCGTGGTTCCTGTTTTGAAAGACAAGAGAACAACACAACTCCCTACACGTGCTGTACCTTACTATCTGTTCATCACTTTCTATTCTTTTTACCATATATGAAACTAATTATCTAAGCATTGCGGTATGTGCTCCTCAGACTTCATGTCTCTTCCTCTCCTGTACTTCTCCATTGTACAACACATTCAGATCAGCTGAAATCATCTCAGTATTCTCATTGTTCACACATCTAAAACTTATATAGTGAAACACAACTTATAGTAAAACACATAAAATCATTCTATTCCCAACAGTAGGAACTGTTTTTTCCCTTCTGAACTACACCAGCCAACCATATCACTGCACAAAAGGCAGCATGAATCTGCTGCTGGCTAACATTAAAGCACCATCAAGAGCCAGAGCTTCTCGACCATGAGTAGATGCAAGTTACTTTTGTGCAGTGATACAGTTGGCGTGTGTAGTTCAGTAGAGGGAATTAGTTCCTTAATGAAATTGCACACAACAAGGTCTGTGGATGGCGGCATGGTGGAGCAGTGGTTAGTATTATAGCCTCACAGCGAGAGGATTTCTGGTTTGAACCTGGGTTGGAGGGCTCGGAGCCCTTCTGTGTGGAGTTTGCATGTTCTCCCCATGTCAGCGTAGGTATTCTCCAGGTACTCCGGCTTCCTCCCACCGCAAGCCGAGTGCCGTCTAGTTCCATTAAATTGTAGAGAAGGCAGACATCTCTACGGCTGATATCTACAACACTCTGCAACTCACACCAAAACAATCTAGACTGATAAATAGCACTACAGGTGAGAGGAAAAATATGCGTTTTTAATTTTGGGGTGAGGATGTTCACATTTTTAGAAAGTTTGAGGCTCTATTTCTCAGTCCCATTTCTATTTATTTATCTTTGTTGAACCCATATTTAACCAGGTAAGTCCTGTTGAGATCAACAATCTCTTTTTACAAGGGAGACCTGGCCAAGACAGCAGCATAGAGAAAAAGTTACAATCAACTTAATCCACAATAAAAACACAGGAGATATACAGTAATACATTTAAGTTTTAAAATATCTACGTACATTGACAAGTCCCAAGCGATTCAATCACCCTTGTACTTATGAGAGCTTTAAAATCAGGGAGAAAGACCAGTTGTCTTAGTTTCAAATATTTTTGAAGGCTATACCAAGTGAAAGGAGCAAAGCACATAAATGCTTAATTTCCCAGCTCAGTCCAAGCACAAGGAAAAGACAGCAAGACAGGATCTTAAGATCTCAGACTATAGCTACAGTCAGATCTCTGTTTAATAAAAGTGCAAATGTATGATGGGAGTTTACACAGTATGGCTTTATAAATGAACGAAGATGGCGATAAATGTTTCATGTTACATTAATAAAATGAAAATTTTTATTATACTGCCATCATTTTAAACCTCAACATTAAAGTACAAGTGTACAAAAAGTGTCTTGCATGTGTTTTAGGTTGATGTTAGATGCAGTTTGTTGTGTTCAGATAAATTCAGGGACTATGAGCCTGACTATAGCGCCACCTCGAGTGCAGAAGAGGTGGAGGTCCGAGCGGAGGAGGGAGGGAGAAAACGAAGGGAGGCGGAAAAGGAGGAGGAGGAGGGTAGAGGAAAAAATTTACTTATACTTGGCATGCCTCCTCTTTTTATTCATCCTCAGTCTGTTCTTCCTCACCACTAATATCCAAGCATGACAAGTCGTGTGGTCTCTTTTTTTCTTCACTTGTCTTTGTTTTCTTTTTCTTGCTCTGCTGTTTCTCTTTTTTCTCTGTCTCATTCTGTCTTTCGCATGGGCATGCAATTAAAGTATAGGAACCTCCTCTCCTCTCTCAGGGAATTAGTAAGCTTTCTAGTTCATTTTGGATTGTGCTGAGTCGGTGTCTCTCTTGTCTTTGACGGATTTTTGTTGAGAAGTAAAAATCTGGTTTCATAGAGTCAGTCTGTTACTACATTATGCTACAATATTCAATGGCAAAAACAAAAAGAAATCCCATTGTCATCCAAATTGTGGACTTTTCTAAATGTGTAATTGTCATGCAGAATTATAAACATGGGGCACATAGACACACACACACACACACGCAACACACAGAGTCCTTCTGTTAGGAGTGTATTAGTCGTTTAGCTTTCACACTCCCTGTTACACATTGCTTAAAATGTTAATCTGACTGGACTCTGCGGCTTGGTGACAGTTGGCATCAGCTGGCACGACGGCTGTGAATAGGCTCACACAAGACGAATGCATGACTGTATTAAATATTACCAGCTGAGTCTAACTCAATCTGTCACCCACATATTTTACAAAACCACATTTTGGCATATCTTTGCTAACATGTCAGCTGTCACTATCACAGTGAGTGCTCTCACACTTGGAAATTCAGTATTAGAGGACATAAATATTTCTAGAAGCATTTTCCTTTTCAGCTCCTGTGCATGAATATGCATGTGTACGTGTATGGTAGGATTATTATTATGTGTGTTTGTGAAAAGCATGTTTTTGGATGTTTTGATCACGTTCTGTGAATTCTTGCTAATTGTGTGTGTTTTGCTCCACCAGCAGGGAGGATAGTGATCGCCACCACTGCTGTTACTGTTACAGTGGGCAAGAAAACTGCCATCGCTGGAGGTAGGGTGACAATTTTTATTTAAATACTTCCTCTCTTTTTCTGTCTTTTACGCACATTTTCACTGTTCCCTCTCTCATTCTCACTCCTTTTTAGTCTCATTTTTTCCTCACATGCACTTGCAATTTTCTCTGTTTTTAAACTTTACTCTCCTCTTGCAAAGTGTCCTCTCCCCACATGTTCTCAGCTCTTTCTGTCTTTCTCTCTTGTCCGTCTTCTCATGCGGTATCGCATGGTGAAATTGGCTGATTTGTTGGTGACATGTGAAGTTGTTAATTGGATGGCGATTGCTGGTGTATCATCGCTTTCCAATCAACGTTTTTGGCATTGATGTGCTGATTTGTCAGTGCCGTGTTTATTGGATGTGCTGTGGACTTGCATCTTTGGTCACGGTTTTGTTGTGTTGTAACAGAAAACAAAAAGAGTTTAGCTTTTTTCATTTGTAGTTTGGTATTTATTTAAGCTTATTCTGTTGTTGTCCTCACTAGAACTTGCTCTAAAGAAGATAACAAGGTCATTTTTAGGACAAGAGAATTTTGTGAGCTGCATGTAATTTATCTTAAACGTGGAGATCCTTACATTTCTACAGCAAGATAAACAATGCAGACTTCGACCTGACCAGTACTGGATTTCTTTTGGTCAATAATGACATCAGTACTTGAGAATGATAAAAAGCTGACGACAAGATACTGTCCAATATTCGTTTTGTAAATTATTTGTGTAAATAATATTATTGTCAGTTCAACAAGAAAATTTATTTCGACATTTATTAAATTTAATCAACAATAATAAAAACACAAATAAATATATTAATTGTGAACTGATAAAAATATGGCCAGAAATTCACAAAAATGCTGCCAATAAAACAGTCTTATCTCAACGTCCATTTAGTAGATGTTTTGGAGCTTTGGATCATACCACCTGATCTTCATCAGCAGATAGAGTTTTCATCTCATGGAATTAAAACACCCAGCTTGAAAAGAGATCCTGAAACTGCACTAATAAGATGGGAACTTTAACATCTGTAATTCTGTCACAGCTGAGGAAACTCCATCTTTTTAGTTTGTCCGAAACCTTCGTATGAAACAAATAGTATGTGAACAGCATACTATTTCTGGTTAAATACTACAGCATGCAAACACTGGATGCTACACTGGCATACATATCCCACAATGTTAAGCAACAGCCACTAAGACAGTTCTGTAACATCAACACGCTTTAATTTAAGTGTAAGTGAATGTAAGAAGTATAAGATTTCACTTTGCTTGGCATAATATAGTTTTAAAATTATTTCAATCAGAGAGGTGCAGATGATGTAGATGAGTAGAGGAATGAGCCTTTGTTGAGCTTGCCCTAGACTCTGGATACGATAGCCGGAGGTGAACAGGGTGGAGGAGGGGAGCGGGAGGGAGAGACTTGTGAATGGACGAGCATAAAGAAAGTCTTCCTGATTGAACTTACGCTGAGCTTCATTTTTAAATTACAGGTAGAGCTGAGGTTGGCAGAGGTTACCATGGTTACATGTCTCCAACCTGCAAAAAGGCTCTCAGGAGGTGACATAGTAATTACAGTTCAGTGCGTCTGAAAAGTTACATACTACTGTTTGTGAACACAAAACTATGTTGAACAATAGCACACATAATGGATATCTAAGACATAACGTGGATTCAGGTGCAGTGTATAGGATATGATTGACAGGTTCAGAACAGTTACTAAAAGGAACTTGGGGTAAGATTGTTCTTTTTTTTATTAAACTGCCATTTCCAAGGTCGATAATGAACCACTAAACATTTACCGCTGCAGTTTCTTTCTTTCTTTCTTTGATCACAAATCTCTAATTACACTCAAGCTCCTGATGACAATGTGTGGTTGTCTTTTCTTGACTTATTGTTGATTGTCCCTGGCTTTGTTTCACTGCTTCCTGATGTGTGTGTTTTAGTGCATGTGTGTGTGTGTGTGTTTTGTCCTGGTAAGCCCATCTATGACTGACACACTCATCAGTTATATTTGTCTCTGTGAGACAAGACTCTTTGGAACTGCATCCTCAGAGCACATGTGTGCGTGTGTGTTCTGTCTGAGTGTATAGCTGCATGCATTTGGTGTCTCATTATGCTGACAGACAGACAGAGAGGAAACTTAATGCACTCACACACAAACACACGCGCTTATCTGCATTTCACAGCTTTAGTGGAAATTGTCTCAGGTGTGAAAATCGTGTTATTTTGGAAATGGAAAACAGGGAGAGTGAGAAAGAGTTCAAAATAGATGTGTTTCTGTCTCTCTCTTAATCTTGCCTCTCTTTCTTATGTTTTTTTCTCCATTTTGCTTCCTTCTTTCTTCCTCTGCTTGTTTGGAAACATTAACATCACAGTGTTGAATCCAGAGCTCTGCTACTGTACCTATTATAAACCTGCAGTAACAGAACAGACAGCAAGATCTGAAATAACTGTTACATCTAAAAACAGCCTTTACATGAAAGTACAGGGAATATTTATTCAAGAGAAGCAAAGTAAAATATTTGTAATAAGTTAAATGATGTAAAGAGAAATAGATTTTTATCTCCTCATCATGCATTTGGTTGTATGTGTGCTTGAGTGTGTGTGTAGCCATCTGTCAGCTAATCTTGCAAACTACTGGACCAATCAGCCTAATATTTTGTGTGCACATGACTGTATGCTCAGGGATCTTTCTTGTTTGTGGCGATTCATTGACTGTTTTACGCTGTCACTGACTGCTGCCTTCTCACTGCTGCCTTCTCACTCCTCTTATGCCGGGTTCACACGACACGATATCAGCTCGATTATAGTCCAACGCAGTGTCTTGTGGTGTCCGCTCGGATCGTGAATGATAACAAATTTCGTACGCAATAATCCATTGTTTTATCTTGTGTAGTGTGTTATAGTAGACCACAACTGTAGTAGACAACGTCCCACGTCTGGGACACCTCACGACATCCCAACAGAAAGTTTAGCATGTTTTGCAAGGTTCACACTACACAACATTTTTGTCTGTTCTGACGGTCACTATGCCAGTAGAATGCTTTTGTAGTAACATTTCGGCTGGCACATGAACAGCCACAGTGACTGAAATAATAGTACTGATAATGAAAATAGGACAAGAGTAACCAACATGACAACAACATCACACATGTCTTGAAAGACGACCAGGGATGATTGGTGTGGACCATTGTGTAGTGTGTCATGTCTGTCGGCCAACTCACAGCACGATTTTATGACTCCACAATCACCTAATCTGACATAGTGACTGTCGGAACAGAGAAAGATGTTGTGTAGTGTGATCCCGGCATTAACCAGCTCATGGGGGCTGCAGGTTTTCCAGAAACGGTTTGGTTTGGTTAAAAACAGCAAGCCGTAACTAGTCTGTTGTAGACCACATTCTGGCCTGGCCATAATAAATTTTGGATTTATTTTTATCTGGAGTATGTGCAGATAAATTTCACATCCAATGTGTTATAATCCACTAAAGTTAGGTATGTTGCAAGATGAGTTAGTCCCTGTTTTTGTTGTCTTCACTGCCATTTTGACTGTATGGAAGTCAGAAGGGACAATTCCATTGGGCCGAGCTGCAACAAGGCTTTGTTGTGTTCGCTGCATGGCATCAAACGGAGTGTTTCAGAAGCAGAGCGTTTGCCAACTTGATTTTGTAGACTGGCAGATTTGGTCATTTTTCCTTGATATTTGTGCTTCTAAGCAGGCTATGTGGTTAAATGGTTTCCTTTTTTTGCCAATTTTCGTTCTGTACATTGTTGTTATTTCTTGCTTTCTTGTGCTGTAGCCTACAGATAAAGTTAATACTGTTAAAAGTCCAGTTATGAATGACACAGATCAAAGATTTCTGGCTGTGCTGTAGTCGTTAAAAATACAGATTCGTCAGTTAGGACTTGGTGTTACAATCCCTGGAGTTTCAAACCTCTCAGAATTGTATTGTATCTATATTTCACGTACAGTGCCTGTTAGCAGGAAATCTTGTTCTGCTCTCTGCAACGCGCCATGGCTCCATCAAAAATAGACGAGGCGTGTGTTCTATTAGCTTCAGAAACTTGCTGCGCCGCCTCTGCTGAAATGACAGGAATTATTTAGAATGGCCACGATCAGCTCGGGCAGCCACCTGGCTGAGATCTGCACTCTATTGAGTATACTTTTATAGTTGTGTATGTTGGTGGTGGATTGTCTGATGATGACCACTGATCGGAGGTCAAAGGTCATGTTTTTATTCACCACAGCATCACTGGATGTCAAGTTGAGCAGCTTTTCTACCAGCTGCTTCACTTCAACAGAAACACAGAGGGAAAGGCAGTATCAATGTTTTATGGACTTGCTCTCTCCGACTTTCTTTAACACACCCGCACACAAAGATACACACTCACATGCGCACACTACTTATTGTGTTTCATCCTTTGACATTTTTCCTTGCCCTGTTAAACCCTCACATACATCTCTCTTTTCGCAGCTTCTCTCTTCCGAAGCTGTCAGACCTGTCGCCCTTCCCTGCTCATTTTTCTCCATCTCGCTCTTGCCCTTGTTACTCTCATTTCCCTGTCTTGTCATTCTTTCTCTTTCCTCTGTCCGCTCACTTCCTCTTTACAGCTGTGTCTTGCTGCGTAGGCGAGGGCGGCTTTCATATCGAGGGTCACGTTTACCTTCTGAACACAAGGGGATATTCAAAAGCTGCTTTGTCACGAGGTGCAAACACAAATGCTGTACTGCTCACACATTTAGCTTAACTGCTACACTTGTACGAGTGTGTATTAGCAATGTCAATTTTGAATGTGTTGACACTGTAAAATCCTAAAATGCAATGTGAACACAGTACACAAACACAAAAACTGCTCTTAACAGCTCTGTAGCATGTAAATGTGAACCACTGTAAAAGTTGCTTTATATTCAGTAGCTTACTCAGGGACTCTTCATGACTACACTGCCAAGTTGCAGCTTTGCACAGATGTGTGCAACAAATAATACTGTCGAATTTTGTAGATTAA